TAGTCCCTCCCCTACCCCCTGATGCAGAACATACAACTTTTGGAACTGACTTCTGTAGCTTATGCACTCATCTAAGCAGTATCCCATCTCTGTAGCAGACCAAGGTTTCGCAGCCCACTCATGTAGGTCACAAGCCTGGACACTCAGATAGAGTAGGAAACTCTGCAGCAGACAACCAGATGAAAAATAGAAAGGAACATATGTTTCCCAATCCCAAAGATGGGCAGGATCTTAACTTAGCCCTTAGTTGGCAGCTGAATAGCACATAGCCGCCAAGTTGTTCATCAGGATCTCAACTACTATACCCGACGTAAAATCTGCAGGACAAAAGTTACTCCAGCCAAACCTATAGATAAACAAATATTTTCACAAGTCATTAGTGGTTTTGCGTGCCTCAGTTTCTGAGTGATCAATTTGAGAAACCTTAAATGGGCATGATTTTCATAAGGTGCTGAGCATCTGAAATCGGGGCCTGTTGTGTCTCAGTTTGGGCACTCAAAAATGTAGATACTCAACTCTTTTTAATGTGGTGACCCACCCCAGAAATGTCTAAATAAATAAATAAATAGCTATGCAAAATTATAGAGGATGAAAGTTGCAAGATGTGAACTCCTCAAAACTCATTGTTGCATTGGTTCCATCCTTTCAGGGAATGTGTTAACATCAGGTGAACTACCCTCACACTTCAAGCAATGGACCCTTCAAGTCAGGAGCTCAGACACATTAGTAGCATGGAGAAACTCGCAACTTCACTACTGCTGTATCTGATTTTTTTTTTTTTTTTTTTAAACAGATAATTCATTTAAAAAATGTTTGAAAGAAAACTGAAAAAATACAAACAATAAACCAAGAGGAGAGTCAGTTTATCTCAAAACACACGGTAGTGTTCAATTTATCAGCTGTTCTGCATTTGCTCCACAGTTTAGTTAATTGGTGCACAGTTCTTACAGTTCTCTTAAATAATGAATCTGTAAGGCACCGGGCTTGCTGCCAATTAGCTTTTAACTCCAGCTCACATTTTCTGGATAGATTAGATATTAAACCTGTTTCACAGAAGACACAACATCCTTCACATTGCATCACTAAATGAACATCTGTTGCTATAGTGCCTTGGCGTTATTTCCTAGACAACCACAGAAGTGCCAGCAGCGCTTCCTCCCACCATCTAGCCCAGTTAATTTTCAACATAGGTTTTTAAAAGAAGCTGGCAAATAAAGAGCAATGCTAGCAGAGTTCAAAATTTCCCTAAGAACCCAGTTCTGCAAAGCACCAAATGTCCCCTGTGAAGTTCTGACCGCAGGAGATGGGGGGTGCTTGGCACCTTGCAAGATTGGCACAGACAGATGAAAGAGGGAACACCACTAAACTATCAACATTTTCCTGATCTGGTTCAGGCTATTTTCATAAACACACAAGTAAATGATCCTTCATAAACCTTGTCCTTCACAGCTGTTCCAGTTGTGGCATGTTTCACAGAAAGTTAAACTGCATCAAAGTAAACTGTAAAGTTTGTTGTATTGGATCAATCTTAATAAACTTTAAATAAATAAAAAAATGAATAAAAAATTATAATGGGCATACTGCATTATCTCAGAATCCCATTATCTGTATGATTAAATATGTAATTTATTTTAATGGCTTTAGTTTTGTCTTTTATTTATTATTGGGAACTATACTCATTTTCCCCCTTTCCTTCAGATGATGCATTATAATTCATTAAATAAATGCCTCTGCAGCTATACTATATACTGTACGGTATAACCAGAGATGGTCCATTACTCCCAAACCCAGATCCTGAACCACATTTTGAGGATGGTCTCTATTTCTTAAAGGGCCAAAACAAAAATTCCAAATCCAAATATCCTCAGACTGCAAAGAGTTAAAGATCCACATCTGGATTTTGTGGCTTGGTCCCTACTCTAGCTACTACACAGCCATGCTTCTGTCATGATCTTAGCAGGGTCAGTAACATATTATGAACAGGGATCCTAGTTTTCCATGTTAGAAAAGCCAAAAGTCTCTGATAAAAAAACCCCATAAACATCCGCATTTTTCCAGGATTAAAATGAAACACTGAACTTTAGTTTCCCTAGCCACAATATATATAGGTATCAGTTGAACTAGAGTGACCATACATCCTGTTTTGGCTGAGACAGTCCCATTTTTAAGCCCTGTCCCGGACATCCTGATTTTTTTGGAAAAACTGGGCATTTGTCTCCTTTGCTCTTGCTAACGGATGATCTTCAGATGGCAAGAGCAAAGGGGACAAATGCCCAGTTTTGCTAAAAAAGTGGGACACCTCCCCCCTTCCCCGAGGGGGGTGCAGAGGAAATGGAGCAGTGACGCCAGGCACTTGGGCTCAGGCAGTTAGTCCCACGCAGTGTCCCATTTTCACTTTGGGAAATACGGTCATCCTGACTTCAGTAAAATTTAGTTAATAGTTAATATGTTATTATAGTTAGTTAATATAACATTAAAATGAGGGTCCGGCTGGAGAATCTTGCCTATGTGCTCGGGGTTCTACTGATCGCCATATTTTGGGTCGGGAAGGAATTTTCCTCCAGGGTAGATTGGCAGAGGCCCTGGAGGTTTTTCGCCTTCCTCCGCAGCATGGGGCAGGGGTCGCAAGCTGGAGGATTCTCTGCGACTTGAAGTCTTTAAATCACGATCTGGAGACTTCAACAGCTGAGTTAAGGGAAAGTGGGTGGGTCAGCTTTTGTGGCCTGCACCATGCAGGAGGTCAGACTAGATGACCACATTGGTCCCTTCTGACCTTAAAGTCTATGAGTCTATGTTCTTATTTTTTCACAAAATGTAAAAACGAAAGATTCTCTGTAAAAACGCAAATTCCACGTTTTTTCATGGCAAGTGGATTTCTAAGATCCCTGATTATGGCCCACCTAGCAACAGCTTTCAGAACTGGTCTTCTTCCATGTTTTTAAAAATAGGCTGATGTATCAAAATAGTTACATAAAATGGAGTGCAAATATTTGTGGGACTATCCTCTTTAATGTTGGGAACAGAAAATAGAACACAAATGCATCCGAAGAAGTGGGTTGTAGCCCACGAAAGCTTATGCTCTAATAAATTTGTTAGTCTCTAAGGTGCCACAAGTACTCCTGTTATTTTTGCAAACACAAATACTGTTGTTAATCGTACTACAGACTATTCATCTTCAAGTTTACAATGAGTGGCTCTATTTGCAAGACTGTGCAGGGTACACCATCACTTAAGATGGTGTAGCCTGCTCCACCAGTGCAGCTGACTTGCTCCTCAGCCCAGCACAGAGGGGAGGTGGTGGAGCTCTGGGTCAGGCTCCTCCCTGTCCCTCGACAGCCTCTTTGAAGCACTGTGCACCCATTGGGCTGTTCAGGGACTGCCACTGTTGTAGCCCCTTTTGCAGGCCATGCAAGAGGAGAAGGTCCTTGTGCACTCCCATCCCCCTGCAAGCTTGTGTAAGGGCCTGTCACAATCTCAGTCCAGGGTAGCAAAATGCAATTCAGGAAGTCTCCAGAAAGGGAGCAGTGGAATGGCACGTTGAAGAGAGGCAAACCCATCGGAGGTTTTGTAAAATGTCTGTATTAGTGAAGCAGAAGCACATATGGATTCTATAAAAGAGTTGGTGCAGGAATGTACTGGGGTGCTGAGAGGACATGCTGGAAAGTACTGAATGTCTGGGGGCGGAGGGGGAGAGTTGTATGGGGTACATTAGAGGTCCTACAGGGATCTCATTATGGGCATCTCTCCAAGTTGGGTGGGAGCAGACAGGGAGTCTCTAGATGGGTGCAGGATCCTCTCAAGTCCAAAGCTGGAAATGGAAGAAGCTGCACAGCTCCGGGGAAAAAGCTACTTTACATATCACTTGTTGATAATCTGACAATAAATCCAGAGCGGACCTGGGCATTGACAAGGTTATGCAGGTCGATTTGTCCACACTGCACCTGCCTCTTAAACCTGGCATTTACTAATGGCAGCTGATGTTTTGCCAAGTGATGCTGCACAATGAGGCCCTAAAAGCACTATCCTTGTTATTTTTATTTTTTTAAAATAACGTGGCCCTTTCGAGAGGAAAGCCAATTATTTTTATTATGTTGCTCCACCCCAGTACTCTGTGGCAAAGACTCTGCACAAAGTCAAAACCCAGTTAATCATCTGCCGTTCTAATCTGAGATTTATTTAAACTGGATGCTAAAGTCTCCCTGGGAGCTACCTGGGATTTATAAGCTGTTCTCTCCCCCCAACAGTTATAGAGTAGCCAATGGCTAGATGTATCAAGGTAGGACCCTATAGGACAGGGGTCGGCAACCTTTCGGAAGTGGTGTGCCGAGTCTTCATTTATTCACTCTAATCTAACGTTTTTAGAAGGTCTCTTTCTAGAAGTCTATAATCTATAACTAAACTATTGTTGTATGTAAAGTAAATAAGGTTTTTAAAATGTTTAAGAAGCTTCATTTAAAATTAAATTAAAATGCAGAGCCCCCCCGACCGGTGGCCAGGACCCGGGCAGTGTGAGTGCCACTGAAAATCAGCTCGCGTGCCATAGGTTGCCTACCCCTGCTATAGGAGCAGAGGGGTGTATGTGTGTGGAAATCACTGGATGGAATGAAATACACATAGGAGTATTTTTAAAAGATTGGTTTTGGCCACCAGACAATGCCCAAGGTGGAAATGGCAGAAGGAACCCATCAGACACCTACCACATGAAGAATGGCGTGGGGAGATTTCATTTTTCATTAATATCCACATTTTTGAGCAAAAGAATCCAGATCAAAACCAAAATACAAATACAGCCTCCACACAGAATACCTCAGTAAATTCCATCCAGTGGTCATGGACTTCTCTGAGGCTGCACAGTGGGATTTGGCCCATGGTCTTCACATAGTTTGTATGGGAGGATTTTGGTCATTGTTTGAGGTTGTTTACAGATATCATAGCAAATGCCAATAATATTGGTGAAAGAAACAAGAATGTAAACCATACAAAAACCATACTGTACTCACCACGTCGCCTGTCCCAGGGTTTTCCATAATAACTGGGGGCAGCAGTAACCCTGAAGGAGACGTTGCATCTGGGTTGTGAGCCCCGGTGCCTCCTCCTATCAAGGAAACCACACCATTGCAATCCACTGAGCTGTTCCTCTTGCCATTCTGCATGTAGTTTGGAGTAGGAGGGTGAGAGCTATGGCTTGCTTGACTTTGCATGCTTGAACGTCTCCCAGTCCTTGGAATTAAAAGTGAGCCACGCTGGCTTTCATTTTCCCCGGCAGTGCTGATCTCATCGTCGGCAAAATCTGTTTCGGAGCCAATGTCTCTGCCACGGAATCGGAAACTGAATATACTTCCATGGCTGGTTCTGCGCTTCACTGAGTTTGCATTTGGACCATAGCTAATGTCAAGGAGAGTCTGGAAGCCCCCAGAAAGGAAAAAGGGGAAAAGAAGTAACATTTTGCAACACAGTTTTCAGAATGATGAAGGTTTTGAGTTCCTCCATCTACTGCGGGAGATCAGTAAGTCCCTTTTAAATCAAGTGCCTCAGATAAGGATTTACTTTAGATGTATTAACCTCAATACAGTTTTAAGATTTAATAACCATTCCTAGCCATGAGGTATTTGTTTAATACATGGCTGTTAAACATGTACTGAAATGTAAAGGGCCAAGGCTGTGTTCACTTAGTAGCAGAACACTTTCTTTGCTCCTGCTCCCTCTCCATGCGATTAGAGTGAAAGGACATGGGGGAGGGAGACGAGAAGTATAAGAGTGGTGTGGATTGGTGAATCCAGCCCCAGTTGAAGGTGTCACAGTACATCTTCACAGGTGGCTAAGGAACAAACTTTGAAGTGAGAGAGCAAGAGATAAAGAAACAAGGGAAGAAATGAATCGTAGGGAGAATGAGAAGAAGCGGAGGGAAGAGGAAGAGAATGAAGAAGAGAAAAAAAAAACAGAGTGAGAAGAGAAGAAATGGTGGATTCTGGAATAGTTATCCCAATGTAAGTGTATCACCATCTCTTTCAAGGGGCAGATCATCTAACTACAAGGCAATATCCCTTGTACTTAAACAATGGCTCTTTTGATGATACACTGAATCAGCTAAAGAGAGACTACAAACCTGAGAAATCACCAGCAGTGATTAAGCCCAACATTGAACATCCTTTAAAAAAAAAACCCTAAAAAGGAACACTGCCTTACTGAAAATAGTGTTTGGAAATGCACACAGGCTTAGAGCCTGTAACTCTTCTCTCCTATCTCTAAAGTAGGAATGAATTAAGAGAGAATATTTGGTGGGGAAATATAGGTTGTTTTTTTTTATCTTTGTGGCCTGTACTTAATTACTTCCATCTGAACTTTTTTCATGGTCCAAATCTTTATTAATAAGGATCGAAATGTTCAGTATCTACCATCTCAGTCAAACTTTCTGGGCTTGATTCTGATCTCACACAAGATATACACTATTGACTCCAGTGGAATTATTCCTGATTTACACTGGTGTAAGTAAGAATTATAAAAATTCAGGCCCACTGTATAAAAAGACACCTCATTTTGACTGAGACCATTTACTAAATGGTCAAAAATCCATATCTGGGTTTCCATGATACAGTCATTGAAACTGATTCCTGATGGCAGTGTGCTTACAGCAGCTCAGATTTCATTTGAATGATGATGATTCAGTCTTATTCCCTCAAACCATGCCAGGCACAGCCTTACAAAGATGATTTACTATAAGCTTCGAAATGTTACTTCCATGTTCCTCATGCATATGACATCCAGGGGCGAAAAATGAAAACAAGAAATATAACCTAAGAAACACATTAACAAGTGTGCAGCTCTGGTTCATTCTGGTATTTGGTATCTTGAAACCCACTCAGAATGAATCAAAACAGCAATTCTAGCATTAACAATTGTATAATTAGTAATGCAACCCACTCAATTAATTAAACAATATCAAGAAAACCCTCTCAGGATAAAAAACCCTAATGTGTCATGCATAAATGTTGTGAGCTGGGGAGTCATTAATTTGTCACATCTACTTACATCACTTTCACATTTTCCATGCACTTTTTTATGGTTGCCAAATGTACCTAAATTTACTGACAAAGTATTGAAAGACTTAGCCCATTACATGGCTATTCAAAAACAACAAATAAACTGCTTTAAACTTTGCCCCCTATTAAGCGTAGACAAATGTTAATATCTGAAACCATCATCAGTATCATCACTATCTGCAGATTTACATTCACACATATCAATTATATTAACAGAATAACTTTTTAAACAATGGGCTTACCCATATTCTTTTTTTTCCATACAGTATAAAGTGAAAACAATTCCAGAACATTTGTACTGAGAGGTGATAGGCAAAAGATTAAAAAGCAAAGAAAACTTTTCAAGTGTCCGCTGTACATCATTAAAAAGCAAAAAAGGCACTAGCCCATTAGTAGGGATATGGTTACCATAACTGGATGGATTACAATTTACAATGAACATGTTACCATGAAAATAAATGAGACTGGGGAAATTTTGAAATGTTTTAAAAAACAAACAAACAAAAAAGTGACAAAAATGCTTTAGTGGGCATTTTAAAAGATGATTTCGAAATTAGAGTAGATAAGTTTCTCTCCACAATTATAACATATAGAATTTGTGCAAGCTAGTCACAGTGCTCAGTGTTTGATCCTTGTTTATTGTTAAAGGTTTTTTTGTTTTAATTACAGTACTACCATTCAGAGCCCTGATTATTCACCAAGGTACAGAGTGAAACAAATTGTCATTGACATTTCAGATAATGACTTACCATTCTTCGCTGACCACAATCATACTCAGATTTGGGAACCTTTTGGTCTTCCCCATAATCTTCTACCCCCAAGGACCTCTTTTTCGTTCTCCTATTTCTTCTCTCTTTGGCATTTTTGGATGCTAAAGGTGACATTTCAAATGAGCTAAGTGACATTGAATCAATTCCTCTAGCAGCCAGTGCCTAAAAAAATGAACATAGCAGATATACCATTTGCAACTTTAGGATGTCAGTAAGTAATAATGATTATTCTTTTTGGCAATTAGTTTTCATTGATAAGTTTCAGCTCACGGTGAAGGTTAAAATTATATAAAAAGGGATTGGTCACAATATTTAACTAACTGTAAAAATACCCCATTTGACTTACCATGGTCTTAAAAAAATTCTATCAGCTCCCTCATTTCAACACTGCAATAATCTAACATCTCCACTTATCTACTTGATGACTCACCAGCAATACATTCAGGATACTAAGTTTCCAGTCTAAAACTGTAAGGGCACATGTTCATGTCATGTTCTCATCCAAGCAGTTTTCTCCTTGCTTGTGCTTAGGCAGAGGCGTGGCAATATACAATAAAATAGTTCTGAAGTACTCAAGAATGAGATTCTTATATATTTCAACAGCTAGGGCTCCAATGCGGACAGACAGCACAATGTGTGTGCGTGCGCGCGCGCGCACACACACACGAGTCATACGTATGCCTTCCATCCAGAATAAACGAGACCGGTAGAATTTTAGGCCTACCAAGCCTTGGCAGTGCCCCTTTAATCAAAAAGGGTGAATCAGAGTGGAGCCCAGCTGGCTACCATTGGGCTGTGCATTGCAAGATCTCTGTACTCTTCACAGGATGATACTAATAACACTAGGTACTTTGGCTGACACATTTTTATAAGTGAAATCTTATCCCAAGCAGTGACAGCGCCAGCTCTGATCAGGGATCCGAGGCGACAAATGCAAACCATGGGTGTAAAAGAAGATAAGACAGACTTTTCAACTCCACATGCCTCTGCATCATGTTCTCCACGTCAGCTATCTCATGGAATCACTGCACAAAAATTCTGATAACAGGAGAGCTGCTAGAAACCCAGCTGCAGCTGAATTCAAAAAAGCCTGCCAGCACAAATCAATGGTCTTGAAAAGCCAGTGGAAAGCCAGGAAAGAAAAATCAAAATATTAGAAAAGAAGCTGCAGACCCATGATGAAGCATTTGATGAGAGTTGGGGATTCTCTCAGGCACGAACAGGGAGTTTTGCACCTCCAAAGAGACTACTGAAAACTTGGTAAAAATCAGACTTGAGCAAAACAAATAAGATTAATTTTGGGGGTGCCAACCAACTGGAAAGAGCCACATCCATTGATTATCTACTAAGCAGGGCCCCTATTTGCAGGTTCTTTGCCAGAATACAGAAGGTATCAGATAATCACTGAACAATGCTACAGGTTCCCAGGTATAGTGGAATTAATAAATCTTCATTGTTATTTTCTGTAAGCCACCAGACTCAAACAAGCAATCACCCTTAAGAAACAGAACATACCCCCACTCCCACAGGCCTCAGTCAAAGTAATGCAGCAAGTTAACATTTGTAAAAAGAATCAGTCATGTATTTTAAGGAGTGGGGGCAGCTCTATTATCCTCCATCAAACAGATTACAACACAACAGCAAAATTTAACTCTTTTGGGACACATATTCCATGAACAAACTTCTTAGAGCAGAGAAGAAGAGGGAGGTTTCAGACGCTTTTCTGGGGCTTTGTTCTCATATGACATTGTATTTCTAAAGAAGTGCCTGTGTAGCTCAAAAGTTTGTCTCTTTCACCAACAGAAGTTGGTCCAATAAAAGATATTACCTCCCCCACCTTGTCTATTTGAGTCAACTGATTTAATTGGTATGCTAAGGTATTTTCCCTCTCCTAGACTCAATGACTCTTTTGGAGTTAGCTTCAGTCATAGGAATGTGTTGGACCAATAGCATAAGATGACTGATCAGCCCCAAGCAGGCCTCTCAATTAGAGCTGCGTTCTCTTTGTATCACTTAGCATAAGTGCCATTCTGAACAGTTTAAATTTTCCTTTCTGCTTGCCATAACATTTTCTTTATCTCCAAAAATGGTGCTATTAAGGTTGCCCTACTCTTCCCAGTATGATACTTTGTTTTCAGTTGCTTATAACTTTGCCAAACTTGTAACTGTTTGGGGTGAAATTTTCCATGCTTGCCTCAGGCTGAATTTTTTTTAGAAAGTTTCAGCCAAAATGATGAAGCTGTTTCTGAGAATGAGGCTAAGAAAAAAATATGTTGTTTTGCCCATGATAAATAATTCTGGTGACCTTTTCTTTAAGAAGCTCTAGTGTCCCCATGCTTTGAAGGGAAGGACTTGAAATTTGAGAAGGGGCCTTTGCATCAGAGATGTGCCTTTTGCTGTTCTGTGACAATCTGCCCGCATTTGGCTAAGTTATAAGCCTTTGAAAAAAATCACAGTTTTCACATGCTCAGTAGACACTTGCTAGAGCTCAGCAATTCAAATCCCTAAAGAATTTGTCTGCACTGGGCATGTTCCAGCCTGGGGGATGAGCAAGATTTTCCCTGCATTTACAGCTCTGGGTTATGGTGGGCCAGGGTTAGACACCGGAACTGAGAGCAGGGTGCCTCTCCTGGGTTCTCAATGATCCCTCTGCTGGGCATAGGCAGCATGGAGGAGGAAGCTGCCTGATTCAAATGCAGAGGAAAAAATAAAGACAGACACACCTGTGGGGGAGGAGAGTAGAGACAAAATTTGGTTGGGGGCTGGCAGGTGGGGAGGAATGGGAGAGACTGGGACTGCCTGGATGAGGACAGTGAGAGTCAGGGGCCAGAGACTGGAACTGGAAGCCAGGGGATGAAGACTGGGACTGGCTGGGCAAGGAGACTGGGACTGGGAGGGAAATAAAGGGAGGACTGGGAGCCAGTGGGTGTGTGGGGAGACTGAGATTGGATGAGGCACTGAGAAGAGACGGGGGCTGATTGGGCCAGGAGTAGTGCTGGGAATGAATGCAGCAGGGGAAGGAGTTGGGGTGTGGGGAGCAGATGTGACCAGGAGCCCAAGTTAAATCAAGTTCCATTTCATGTTGTGGAAAGCTTAATCTCAGGAAGTACCTGTTTACGTGTCTGTAACATAGGATTTTATCTGTACAGGGAGTCCTCGGACTTACGACACAATTCGTTCCTCAGAATTGCGTTGCAAGTCGAAACCGCTTTTCCCATAGCAATCAATGGTATGAAGGAGGGATTGGATCCTGAACCAAAGCTTGATACACTATTTTCACCACAATAACCCAGATTTTTGTACTAAATGCATTATAGATGTCTAATGTTGCAACACCAATGTATTTACTGTACACTGTATTTTGTAAACAGCATTCAAATAAACATATAAACTCACATATGTTGTTCAGAATGCCGGCAACACAGGCTCAGAAAGCCAGGGAGAACGGCACACATGCTGAGCCTCAGCCAATCACTGTTCAAGCTTTCTGACTGGCTGAGCCCGGGGCTGTGAACCAATCAAAAACAAGCGGCGACTCTACCCAGCAACAAGCTATCCTGCTGCCTCGAAGCCAATCAGAAGCGACCCCTTCCAGCTCCATCCCAGTATAACGCAACTAGGAAGTGATTTCAAGCAAACTTTATGCAAATCGAGTGTCATAAGGGCAAAACAAGCGTCGTAAGGGTGAAACGGACAGTCAATTGAAAAGCGTCGTAAGTGGCGTCTGACGTAAGTCAGGCATCATAAGTCCGAGAACTCCCTATATAGGCCCAAAATTGTAAATATTTTAAACAGGTGACCCTACATATTCTCTCATTTGTCAAACAATAGGATATTAATAGTGGTTTGAAACTGTAAGATTAATAAAGCAAATGGAAAAAGAATGTTAGTTAACATGTACGGAAGAGAAGTGTGGCTACTTTAATCCAGTTCCACACACAGTTTTTGTTCCCATGTAACTACTGCAGTTAGGGGCATAATGTTTACCAAAGCAGATGTACGGTACAATCACTAGTACGGACACAGATAGACCAGTATAAAAATGCCTTATATACCATACCAATATCACTGTGTCCATGCTGTTGGGCGGGTGGAGGGTGTGGGGAAGTTGCACAATTTTAACTATACTGGTAGAGGCAAAGCAGTACAGCTTTTGTGTGTAGGCAAGTCCTTACTGGCCACAAACATTATCATTACATTTCTTCTAGAAAAGATTGTAACCTCTCTGAACAAGACAATAACCAGCAACTCATTTTCAATAGAGCCCTTATTTCATTGGTCTTATATGTTTAGAATAAAGATTGAGTGTTGTTGTAGTGCATGTTCAGGCTAAGATTAACCAGAGAATAGTTTACAGACCTCCTGCTCTTTCTTTAACATTTCCATGGCTTCCCGAAACTTCCTTTCCTTTGCCTCTGTTTCAGCAATAGTGGCTTGGTTCTGCTCTTCATAAGCCATGGCTACTACAGCCAGGATCAAGTTGATCAGATAAAATGAGCCCAGAAAGATGACCAGCATAAAAAAGAGCATGTAGATCTTCCCAGCAGATCTGAGAGTCTGCAAGCACAAAAATAAAGAGTCTGATGCATAGTTAAGTTTAAAGTTTCGACAATGTTTTAAAAGACTTATATTTACTTTTAATTAAATTAGATTTTTGCTAACAGCCTGAACAGAAACCCGTTCAATATAAAAAACAATCACATCATAGGAAGTTACACTCTCCTCATGAAATTGCCGTGATCATTGTGTCATGCAGCAAGATGCATTTTTAAAATGAGTTGTTTTTCTCATGAATATCGTGTTTGAGTTTGTTCGCTAACAGATCAACTTATCAGCAATTGCAGAGAAAGCATTCTTCACCTAAAACGTCAGCACACTTTCCTTTGAATATAGACCTTCAGAGACTTGCCACCTGGGGATAATTTTCACGTGCTAATACAGAACCTGCCCTCAGACAGCGGTACATTTACTAAATGCTGATTGTTTAGCCTTCCTTTTTACAGTCGCAACTTGAACCTTCCAAATCGGTACCTGTAATTTTCCACCCATTAAATGAATTACAGTTATTTAATTGGCTTCTATTTCAATGTATTACTAGTTTTCATGCGATAAAAATAAATTGTGTAGATGGTGGCACAGGAAACTGGAGTCCTCCGTTTATTTGCAGAACTGTATAGCATGGCCTATGGCAGTACAGCCTTCCCTGATTTCTATACCAAAGTGCTTCAATCTTGACATGGAGAACCACATTTTCAGTGGGCACAAACCCATTTGCACACACAACCATGTGCATGCAATTTTGTGCCTAATTTCTGCATGCAGTTCCTGAGACTTGCACATACAATTACAGCAAATGCATGCAAGAATGAGTATTTAGTTGACCTGTCCATTTGCACACACAGGCCTGGTCTACACTAGGACTTTAATTCGGATTTAGCTGCCTTAATCCGAATTAACCCTTCACCCGTCCACACTACAGAGCCAGTTAATTCGAATTAAAGGGCCCTTTAAATCGATTTCTGTACTCCACCTCGACGAACGGAGTAGAGCCTAAATCGATTTTGTTAATTCGAATTAGGGTTAGTGTGGACGCACACCACCGAATTACTGTGTTTAAGTTAATGGGGTAGTGTGGCCGCACACCACCGAATTAATGTGGTTTAAAACCGAATTAAGGTGCTTAGTGTGGCCGCGCACAATCGAATTTATACAACCTGTTTCCCAAATTCGAATTATCTAAATTCAGATTAATCCTGTAGTGTAGACATACCCACAGTTGCTACAACTGTGCATGAAAGTTACAAGTTATTCTCAGACAATTTTTGCACATGAACCTCAGGGCCTCCTTGATGGAAAATTTGCTCTGGGGAGAGCACTCCTAGGTGTGTGGGTACAATTTAGTCTCCTTCTTCATTTAATTCGGTCAAGAAGCATGCCAAGGGAAGTGATGGTTTTTGTCAGGTGGAAACCATTCTCCTTTGAGCGGGACTGGGATCACCAACTCATTTTACATCAGCCACCAAACAGTCATTACATGATGACATCTTTCAGATTCAAACAAGTTACCCAATGAGAGCTTCTTTCTCCCATTTACCAATCCTCCTTAGCCATCCACTGACAATCATGTACTAAATATTCACTGCAGCAACTGACTAGGATGTACACAGGAGAGTCGTTCATTCTGTGTTTAACCACCACCAATTTTCTCCTAACTTCAACTACTGACTTTGGACTTGTCCACACAGTGAGTTAGTGCATAGCAAGCCAGGGCATGAATCTACATCACACTAGCTTGCCACTCACTAATTTGCTATGTAGCCCTTGTGCACTAAAAGTTCTGTAGTGCAGTTCAACATGCTCCTGTTTCACACAGCAAGATAGGGCGCATCAAGCTAGTCTGCTGTAGATTCACACCCTGGCTTGCCACACACTAACTCGCTATGTAGACAGACCAATATATTACTGTAAGTGGATGACTGATTTATTTGATGTTTTAACGAAAAAAATCTGATACCTGTTGATAGAGACGCTCCCAGCAATCCTGTGTCATCAGGCGGAACAAAGAGAGAAAGGCCCAGCCAAAAGTATCAAAGCTTGTATAGCCATGATCAGGATTTTCACCAGCCTTTAGGCATCTATATCCCGTTGGACAGGTGCTACAAATAATAATAGAAAATAAAGCTAATTACAGGTGGCTTCGATGTGGAGGAACTGGTTTTCCTACAGATGACACTGGCTGCTTTCAGTTGAAAGTTACAGCCATAGAAACATACAGGCAAGCTGTTCCATCTCATGTGAAAGTTCAGATTACATATTACATTTAAGGTTGAATGCTTACAGTACACAGAGAAGATCCACCCTAAACAGGTGAATTGAGGATTGATAACCAGGTCACTAACTATAACAATAAATAAGGCTTCTCTTACCCCTTACAATTATCTTGAGAACTGCTGAGATGCTGGAACAGATCCTCAGCTGGTGTAAAGTGACAAAGCTCCATTGAAGCCACTGGATCTGTGCTAATTTATGACACCAGAGGATCTGGCTCAATATTCTTATGTGACCTGAGCTGTCCACCCATCAGCCTGACCTTCTACTCACTCTCTGGGACCAGTGAACCTTTCATCTAAGTGCCCGACCCTTCAGTTCACTCACCAGAGGAGCCTGGGATTTCACATCCTCTCCAAGAAAAGTCCTTACCTAAACTGCTGCAATGACTTTTCTGCTTCTCAGGAAAGCTTCTAGTCTGTGCATCTTGCAAATTCCCTTATTACATCGCATGCCGCAAGCAAAACATTCTCTCATTAAATTTCACAACTCCTTACCATTTTTTTTCTAAAACACTATGCCATACACAGCAACAAAGTACATTAATTACAACTAACTCTACCAGTTACTAAAGCAACCATGTAAATAGCAATTTGGTAAGGGTACCAGATCCATCTAACAGGCAGGAAAAGAGGAACACAGCAGAACTTGCATGCCTTTTTTCACACAGTTGTTCCAGATGCTCTCTGTTTATGCTCTGGATAGGTAGGAGCCTAGTAAGGGTCTTATAGCTCTGTAAAAGCTCTGGTTGACGTGGTTAGGAATGGCTACAATAATGTGGCTTTGTGAAGGCATTTTAATGACAAAAAACAATTTCCAAGAAGTGTTTTTGAACAGAGCAATGTGCTCCGCATTGGAGTTGGTGAATTTGAACCTCTACCTGTGAAAAAGAAGAATCAAATTTCTCTAACTTGTCTATAGTCAGGGCTATTAATCAGCAATATCCAGTCAGCTGATCCTGTAAAACACTTCTTCACCAGTCATGTCGAGTGGCAAACATGTCCAACAAGTATGACCTGTCTTGTGACAGAATAATAAGAACCCTCTCACTCTATTACACAATAAAATGTTTCAGCCATAATTGCTTTTTAGCACAATGTTTAGCAAAACAAAATATAGACACCAAACCAAAAAGCAATAATAAATAAAAATAAAATAAAATAATAATAATAATAATTAATAAGTAGCAAATCAAAGTAAATCTTTGAATTCAAGCCAAAATTAGAATAGATTCAAGGTCAGCCATGTGGTGGTGGTGGGGGAGGAGTGTCACAGTACTGTTTCCTGAACAGAACAGCTATGTATATGGTATAGATTATATCTTTATATTACAAGGTAGCAATGTGATCTTGGGGTTGAGATAATTCTTCAGTGTATTGTCGGTGGTTTTGAAGTCTTCCAGTGCCAGACACCAATATTATGAATTCAACAACACTTTCAGAAGCTTAATCTAATATCATTAGTCAAGCACAAGGTTTTAAATAAATCTGCTTTGAAAGCCAAAAAACAAAAAGAAAGAAAGAAAGAAAGAAAGATTGAAGTTTTGCAAGATTCATCCATATCTATCTTTGCATGGGACTTTAGATGAAGGTAGAAACCCTCCACCCCATAGTTTACATTTTATTAACTGTGCAAATGAAAATATAATCAGATTTTGTGCGCTTCAGTGGAGCCCTACTGATTTACACCCTCTGAAGATCTAGTCCATATTGACTATGCTACATGAAAAAAGCAGAGACATTTTCAATTCTTTTGCTCCCCGTCTAAGAAAAGTATCTCCTTCTTGAGCTTTCCTACTTTGGTTCCCTTTGTTGAGATCCACAACTCCTGCATTACTTTGATTTTATCATTACAGGCTTGCAGAATAGGAAAAGGAATAAAAATCCAGCTGTTCTCTTTTCTAAAATCTATGTGTTTACTCTGAATTTGTGGTCTGACCATTTCCTTTGTGCAACATAAACTTTCAAGTAAGCCCCCTATCCCAACAGGATGGCATGTATTGTCACCAGGAGCCAGATATTCATTAGACTTCTGTCATTCACCTGATACTGCAGACACCTAACAGTGTCCATGGTATGCTTAGGATATTTTTCCAGTGATTTGAGGAACCAATCTTCTTGACTCTAAAGAAACATTCATTTTGTCTATTTTGAGGCAGCGAAGTTTTTGTAAGGCTCATTCCCTTTTTCAAGAAAAACTGACTAAACTTTGCTTGGGATTTTTTTTTTTTTTGATCCAAGCACGGAAAGGCTTTCCTCAGTTCTTCACTGAAAAACAATCCCAAGTGGTCCCACTGGGTTGTTTCACTGTGTTCTTGTTTATTTTAATCACCCAAAGAGAGCAGGTGCTGCTGAAACATCTGAAGAGAGCTGTATGTGGCTTGAAGGATATCATGTTTCATTAACTTTGGGCCTAGCCTTACTCCAAATGAAGTCAATGGAAGTTTTGCCATTGACTGCAAGTGAGCAAGACTTTTGTCTCCAAATACAGCACAGATAAAGGATTTCTGGAACGCTTTCTCTCTGGAGATTAAAGTCCAGAGAGAAAGTTCAATCACTGTTATGAATAGGTGAAAGGCTGTGGCTAAAAGAGAGGAAAATATTGAGTTGTTGGCCACTCACATCAAATCTCAGATAAGCCTCATAGCACCATGAGATTGGACTGCACTGCCACTAGAAGGTCCCCCTCAGATTCACTGCCTGGGATGACTTCTTTCTGGGTGGAAGGGAACTGGACCAGTTACTCATATGTACACGGGGCAGTTTACTGAAAGGGTGCCTGTTTTCTCTTTTGAAAAGCACTAGAAATGGTGCTGTAACCCTTCCTGGTGCTAAAGGGAGTGACAGAAACCTGGTCTAATATCTTCTGTTTGTAATACAATACTAATTTGTGCAAGTTTACTTATGCTTACAACTCCCTGCAATATGGCAGTCTTCCCACTAACATAAGATGACCTGACAGGTATATCATAGATTGCTAATACGAAAGAATCTTGTATGACCATGGAGTACACGTACAAAGTATGCTACTGGGGACTTGGCAGTGTTCAAACTTGAGGGATGTCAGTACTAAAACCATGAACCTCTATCACTTGAACTGAAGACCTCCATTAACCAATATCTGTACTAGCCTTTCATCCTTTTACACCAAAAGGAGACACTTGCTCGCACCTGAGATTCCCAGTGAGCCTACTGTAGAAAAACTCCCCCACAAAGAGTGGTGATCCATAGGATGTGCGTACAATTTAGAAACACTGCATGGAAAAGAAAATTTTTACAAGTGGCTGCGTTCTATGAAGAAGCCATAAGGGATCTGTTAGCTGGAAGGGCTCCAGTTTAAGATTATTCTTTGGGAACCATCCCTATTCCCTCTGAGGTGCTTTTCTTTTTAAAAGGGAATCTCAGGATTTCACTTAGGATGTTAAAGTCTTCCCCTTTGGATTTTCTAGCAGACTCTTTAGGCTCTATAGTGCCAGGAGAAAGAGTCTGACAGGATTTCACTGAGACTGGCAACCACAAGAAGCTACATTAATATAACATCCTTCACAGGGTGCTGTACAATTAATCACAATACAATTACAGTGTCATCGATTAAGAACAATTAAAAGCACCAATCTACCCATCCATCCATCAGGCCATAATCACCATAGTTTGCTGGCACCCGTACAGAAAATTAAAGGACCTAAGAATAAACCTCATTTTAAATAATGACACAGATTGGGCAGTCCAGGTAGTAATAGCTAAGGGACATAATTACAAAATGCTCTGGCTCAAGACTTTAATCTGGACAAACCCAGTAACCTGCTGATCCAGGCTGTAATGAACTACTCGGGCTTTACAGTGAAAGAAGATTGGTGAACAACTGTGTGTTGGATCACAGCATTTCAGAGCTTGAACATATACAAAGTGATAGCCATATGGTACTAGGAGGTAGCAATTCACAGCTGCTAATGTTGTCACCCCCCGAAGTCTCTAAGCACATGAGGGGCTGTGCAGAGGTCTGTACTCTCAATTGTCCTAGGTAGCAAAAGTCCAACTCCATCTATTACATATGATGGTTTATAAACAGACAGCAAAAGTTGGAGGCAAATAGACAGGTACAAACTGGACTATTTAAAGTTTAAAAACTGTGATAAGGAATCTTCATAGCTCCTGTAAAAGTTGTGGGTTGGCATATCAATAAGCTGAAAGATTCTGAAAATGAGAGGAGATATTTATAGCTGAAATCACTGAAATAAATTTTAATTGGTAAATTTTAATAGGTAAATTTTAATAGAATGAGAAACACCCCCTTAGCAAGACAGCGGGGGTAAAAGCCTGAGTCCCCCCCGCAGAGGGGACCACTGGACTTCCAAGGCTTGTTTAGGCTTGAAACCAAATAGGAAGTGTAAGGGAGTATTGCTGGACTTACTAAATTAGCCCAACAATGATAATTGATGTGAAACTGGAGGGTGTGCTCGCTGAGAGGCTCTGGCAACTTAGGCAGTTAACTGAAGTCTAGGTATCACACAGAGGGGATTGCATATAGGCTCAGATTGTCCACAGACCTTTGCATGCTCACTGGTTTGCAATCACAAAACAAATCCCCCCCCCCAAAAAAAATCCCACTGGCTTTCAGTTCAGGCACATATAAATCCTATACCCTGAGAGCCAGATCACGACCAAACCTATGCACCCGTGCAAATGGGAGTAAGAACCCCCTTTACCCCATGTGGCCTCTCCAGCCCCTGACATCAGGCATGCAGAAGTAAACAAACATTGTGCGCCCACAACTGCCCTCTCAAGGTGGTGGGTGGGGAGTGGGCACTCTTGGCTCCACCCCTAGTGCA